CTGCCATTTAAGACACCCTGATGTGTTTAAATAGTTTAAAACATGGTCTGTCTGCAGATTTATTTGAGCTACTTTTAGGCTTAACTAATATCTTACACTCACTCAACAATCAGATTTTTTGTGTTTTTTAAGTTCTGCATGTTAAACCACAGCAGCCGTTTCCTGTCGCTGACTCCAGATCACCATAGACTTTTTAGATTAAATAATTTTAATGTTAAATATTGACTATGTCAACAGATAAAGGCACGAATGACGTCACAGACGATATCACATACAGTGAAATGAAAATATCACATCGTCGGCAACAACCAATCAAACAAAGCGGAGGTAAATTTTTGCTTGTTTTCAGTAACTCGGGGTGATGGTGGCTGTAGCCGAAAACATCACTGTGTTTGCTGTGATGCATTGTTGAATATGTTTCCTGTTCCGGCTGCTGAAGCAGGAAACATATGGCTTGTTGTCAGTGTAACAAAGGTAAAGAATTTATAGAGCTACCTCAAATTTTAAAGTAATTCTGCAGTGACCAGGTTTTATGGTCAGATGAGGATATTCTCACATTATATTACAAATGAATAATTTAGTTGTCTTCTGTGGTCTTTCGGGGCTTTTAGATATTGCTGAGAAGGCCAGGGATTTCCTTGTTTTTAGTAATGTACCAGACTGGCCACTCTAAAAACTTTGGTTTCCTGTTCATCCTGATGATGGTTCATTTCTTCATCAACATCTCTCTTAACCTTATATTGAGAGTTCCAGTGAACAGCTGCAAACACTAGATGTTTTACCTGCTTGATGCACAAAAAGTATTTGTATCCATCCTTCCATCCATTTTATTGTAGTTGTAGAAAAGCAGAGGTGTACGCAAACATACACTTCCCTCCTTTTTTCTGGGTAAGCAGGTTCTTGGACACATTCCTCCAACTTACATAGGAGGCGCCCATTAGTTAGATGCCTATCTAACTATTTATCTATTAGTTTAACACGTAAAAAGTGACAGACTGAATTATATAAAATGTCTACATTTTTGACCTCATTGAAGTTACTCATGTAAAACCACAGCAGCAGCTTCCTGTTGCTGACTCCAGTTAACTGCATTCTGACTGAGACATTTCACCGCAGTCTGTCATGGGTTGGCTGACAGTAGTGTTCATGAGAAAACCTTTGCTTTGTGCTCTGTGGTGCAGTGCACCAGCTTACATCAAAAGAAGATAGCATCAAAGATATCCATCTTCCTTTACACAGAGATACCTACCAGTTCTTTCTGGTTGATTGTTGTTTTAAAGCAAAGGTATTGAGAAGTGGTGGGAAAAACCCTCTGAAAGGATGCCCCAGTTTCGAAAATGTGTCACTTAAAAATCTGCTTCCACATGGAGTGGAATCATTTTTTTTTAAATACTCTTGCAGTTGTGCCTCGAGAAAGTGACCCAGCTGTGGTCTACTCAACAGTGAGAACTAAAGATGGCAAATATGGACAAATAGGTGTCAGACCAAAGAAGACCACAGGTAAAGCTGCTCTTTATTTTAACGTTGAACAAAGAGAAAAATATTCTAAATTTTGTCTTAAAGAATATCCTTCATAACAGAAACAGAACTAAAATCTCTCAGGTTTCCATTTAGATTTAGTCCCTAAATCTCTCTTGTTCCCGCGGTGGATGATTATATTAAACATGAACAAAGTTTGAAATAATTAGTTAAGTTGATGTGCCAAGTAATACAGTATGAGACAAAAGCTTGGACTGAATTTTACACTGTTTTTTCTACCCTTTGATCTGTGTGACATCATTAAATTGAGATACGCCTAATGTGGAATCTCAGGCAAAACTGCCCACCCAGTTGCTGTTCTGACCGTTTGTTTTTGAAGGGTAGCCAGAAACCTTGAAAGAGTAATGCTAAATCGTTTAGTTTCAGGCTGAGGATTAACTCAGTTGCACAAAGCCCAGTATAACATAACAAATGTCTTATTTTTTTAGCTATAAGTACAAAGTAAAATAAAAAAGGAGTATCTATGCCTGTCCTCCACAGTGGAAACCATTATTAGACTTCACCAAGTTTACAATCAAAATGTGGAAAAACTGGACCAAAATTTTGAGAATCAACAAAAAAGAAAAATGTGTTTCAGTTCCCTTAGTACACGTCCTTGTAGTATATCATGGAAATCGTGTACACCCTTGTACTTCCGCATGAACCTGCTGTCAGTGAACGAGATGTGAAAGAGACAAGTTAAATTATACACTGTACAACGAAACAGCCAGAAAACATCTACTGGAGGTTTTTTTTTTTTTTTTTGCAAATGCAGGTTGGTTCCCAGTGCAGTCAGTTTTCACTTATCTGAACTGGGACTGTGTGATGCAGGGGAGTTGAAGATGAAAGTTTTGATTAAACCACAGAGCTTGTATTCATGTTTCCTGTTTTTTGAACTGTGTGTTTTTGTGTTCACACCTTAAACCAGAATGAGATGTGATCGACTCTTCAGTCCACCAATCCAACCACTGACATCCAGCTTCTGGTCTCTATATTGTCAGCTCTCCACCTCAGAGGAGACCACATTCACTCGTTGATACAGATGTTTGTTTTATGTCTTTTTATGACTGAATAAGACCCAAAAGTCACACCCTTTTTAACAGGGATTTTAAAAGAGTTTTTTTTCTGTAATATATGTGACAATTATTTAAATAGGCTCATATGATTTATGTCCTTAGTAACTTTTGTGTTATTTATATTTTATTTATGTTTGTTGTATTTTAGGATGGATCAATAAACTTTTGATTTTACTTGCTTTTCACACGTGGTTCTGTGGGTTGCATAAAGGTCACACATGGAAAATTTGATTTGTTACAGTCTGCATGTGGTTAACCGATAGTGCAGAAAACGATGAAAATTAAACCACAAGTGCAGACTAAAAACAGCAGGAGCATTATTCAGTGGCTGTAGGATGCACAGAAAAGCATCACTACAGGATGTGTGCATGTGTGTGTGTTTGAAACTAAAGAATTTGATCTTTTTTCATTTCTGCACTCAATGAGAAACCAGTTGGCAGCAGATGACGTGGCAAAAAATGTTCCATTTTTCATTGAATAACTCTTGACTTTTTACAGCAAACATGCAGAAACCCATTTATTGCTATTTTTTTATTATTTCATTTATTGATTATGATGAAAATAGAGAGTTGAAGTGTTTCAGTGTCTGATTAACTACAAACTTATGAGCATCTCAGGCAGACTGGATCACACCACCTGAAGCTGATTAGAGCTCCATATGTTAAACATCTCTGTGAAGAACAAAATGGCCACAAATCATATTTAAAGTCTTCTGGGACTTAGTGATAATTCCATCTGGGTGTTTCAGATGACTAACAAAAGATTTTGCTAATCATGTTCACAAGATGCAAATCTAAATTAGGGTTTTTTTTCTAGATATTGTACAATATGACAGAAATTTTCACTACTGCAGTAATGATCTGTATGTTAAGTATCTGGTGTGTGCATATTTTAGGATCTCAAACATTTAGTATACAGATAACATCTGTCAAATATCTAGTTTTGGGGCTTTAATATACATGATCTCAAAACTGGATATTTCAAAGATAAAGTTAGTATGCAAAGAGATCTGAGAACAGCTCTTCGGTGGATTAAATATTTGGATCTTGCATGTGTACTTTACTCATCTACTCATGGGGGCCTTTTGAATTGCCAAGACCAATGACCAATTTGCCATCGGTGACCCTACCTGGGTGCAAAAGCCGCCCTTACAACACAGCCTATGGGATCCCTAGTGTTTTTTTTACTGGACTTCTGTGCAACTTTACAGTTTGTCCATAACAAACACCATGTTTGATAATAAGGGTGTCTATAAGTGCACATGGCACCAGGACACCCTATGTCACAGGACAATGATCGATCTTGTAATCCTGCCAGACCTGCAGCAACACACTCAGACAAAAACTGGTTCACCCGAAAGACAAAACGCCAAAACACA